ACTGCTGGTCCCGACCATAATCTTGACAACTGAAGCAGTTATGACAAGATAGAGAATGAACAATGTTGCAATTACAAAGTGAAATAGGAAATGAACAACTGTTGCGATTACAAAGTGAACTCTTAAGGCCTGAACAGAGCTGAAAAAGGCAAGCTGAACTCAAGATGTAGGGCTGGCTTCTAAAACATCATCCAGGGTGGGACCAGCAGGTGGCATGGTGGTTAAGGGCGCTGGACTCCTACATGGCCAACCACGGTTCGAGCCCCAGACCTGGAGGCTTGCTCTCTCTCTCTCTCACTCTGTCCTTCTCTGGGCAAATTAAAAATAAATAAATAAATAAATAGTTGAATAAAAAATCATTCTTAAAGCCAGCGGGGTCCCGGCTCAGCATTTTTCACAAGCAATGTTGGATCTACATAAAAGATTGGAGGTTCAGTTCTTCATTCATCCTATATGCCACAGTGTGGGCTGGGAAGGCTAGGGGGTGGAGTAGGGAGTCTCACAATGTGAGACTCTGTTGAAGATGCTTCTCTCTCTCATGAAAGAAAGAAACTTAAAAAAAAAAAAAAAAAGAGGTCATCCGATTCCCACCACAAAAAAAAAAAAAAAGAGGTCATCCGATTCCCTGCACATTATTATCTTTGTGAATCCAACAATCAAACTTCTGATATGCTTGCTGGTCCTCCTACTGAGAGAGTGTGCTGACTTGCTGGCATGAGCTGCATTTAATAAACTGGCGCTATGGTCCAATAGCCAGGCTCATCTAACAATAATAGCGACCATTCATTAGGTACCACGGGCCTCCTTCATTCATGCCACTGGGTTTATTTTCACAATATTCCTTTGGAAGACTGGCCCTCATTTTTCATTCTTTTTTTTTTTTAAGAGAGATTTTTTGCTATAGGGTGTGTGCGCTAGCCAGAGAGAAAGTGAGAAATCACCCTCCAAGGGGGATGGCCATGTCTCAAGCCCTTCTCCTCTATTCTCTTCTCAGGATTTTGGGCATGCATGCACAGATGGTTGGTGTGTTTCAAGTTGCCAGGGCCAGGACTCGAACCACAAACAGCCACATGGAAGTCCGGAGCCTTAACCACTATACCACCTGCTGGCCCATCCCTGAATTTTTTTTCTTTGAAAAGGTTTTTGCTATAGGACGTGTGTGCTTGCCAGACAAACAGAGAGAGACAGAGAGACAGAAAGCAAGAAATCACCCCCCAGGGGGAATGGTCACACCGCAATTCCTTCTCCTCCATTCTCCTCTCAGGATCTTGGGCATGCATGCACACGCGCCCGGCATGAGTTTAAGCCACAGGGTCTGGGACTCGAACTGCGGTCAACTATGTGGGAGTCCAGCAACATAGCCATTATGTTAACTGCTGGTCCCTGTCCCTGACTTTTATAGGAGAATGCGGTAGATCAGAACAGAGAATTGAACTGTGAGGCGTCACACCAGTGTAAGCGAGTGATACAGAACTCTTCTGAAAGTTGACCTAGTTCTTTCATAAGAGAGAGGAGAGACTGCATCCCCACAGGGTCTTAACACCACAATCTACTACCAGCTTCAGCTAGTCCGGATCATGGGCACACACATGCCTGGTGTACTCAAAAAAGTCTCCAGACACAAACTCAGAACCTGCCCATGGGGGTCAGCCTCACTGAATGGCATATTTTACCCCATGCCACCATCTAGCCCTTGAAATGGGACTTAAATTCAGATGGTCCTGGACCGGCAGGTGGCATGGAGGTTAACGCAGCTGGACTGCTTGAATACAAGGCCCAGACCCAGCAGCTTGAAAAGCATGCTGGGTACATGTGTGTGCATTCCAAAAATCCCGAGAGGAGAATGGAGGAGGAGGGATTGTGATGCAGCAATCCCCTGTGGGGAGTGATTTCTCACTTTCTCCTTCTCCCCTCACCCGCCTCATCTCTCTCGGTCTCTGGCAAGCACACGCACCCTATAGCAAACTTAAAAAAAAAAGAAGAAATGCAGATGGTCCTATCTCCCAAACTCATGCTTTCTCCGTTCTATTTATTGCACACTCTTTAACCACAAGTCAGGTTGGCGTCAGTCTCCCAAGGCCTGCTCACCCTGGCCAAGGACTTGATCATTGTGCCAAAGTGCCTAAGTAGCCTTTCAGCTTCACCCATCACAGGCCGCAAAACCACCCTCAACTGCAGCAGGCCGGTCTCGGGTCACTGCTGTTCCTCGTACTCTGTCGGACATGTCCTCTTGCCACCTGCCAGAAAGTTGTGTGGATAAATAATCCAGCCCTTCGGTGCGAACGCATGGTGGTGAGTTTGAGCACGCACCAGTGGGCAAGGAAGCCGACAGTTACTGCGCTAGCCCCGTCTGAGGCACATGATGCCAACTCATCCCGTCCTCAAGAACCCGTCTCAATTGTACAGATAAAGAAATAAAGGCTTTGAGGGACCAGCAGTTAGCGTAATGGCTATGTCACTGGACTCCCACGTAGTCGACCGCGGTTCGCGTCCTGGACCTGGTGGCCGAAAACTCACACCGGGCGCATGTGCGTGCATGCCCAAGATCCCGAGAGGAGAATGGAGAAGAAGGGATTGCAGCATGGCCATCCCCCCCCCGGGGGGTGATTTCTCGCTTTCTGTCTCTATGTCTGTCTCTGTCTGGCGAGCACACGCGACCTATAGCAAAAACCTCTCCAAACAAAAAAAAAAAAGAAAGAAAGGCTTTGTGAATTAAAATATGAGATGACTTCAAAATTCTGGTGGGGAGGCATGAGATCAAAGGACAAGTTGAGGGATCAGCAGATGGCATAGCAATTATATCGCTGGACTCTCACAAGACCAACTGTGGTTCGAGTCCCGGACCTGGAGGCTTGAAAAATCATGCTGGATGTGTTTGTGTGCGTGCCCAAGACCCCAGGAGGAGAAGAGAAGAGAAGAGATTATGATGTGGCCATCCCCCATCCTGGAGGGGTGTGTGATTTCTCACTTTCCTTCTCTATGTCTCTGTCTTTCTCTCTCAAGCAAGTATACGTGCCCTAATGCAAAAATCTCCACAGCAAAAAAATAATCCTAATAAATGAAGTACAAGTTCACTGGGCCACCCAGTGGCATAGTGGTTAAAGCAGCTGGATCCACATGATTGACTGTACAGTTTAAGTCCAGGACCTGGAGGCTTGAGAAACACACCGAGTGTGTGTGCACGCATGTCCAAGATCCCAAGAGGAAAATAGAAAAAAGACTGCACGTGGCCATCCACACTGGGGAATCCTTTCTCACTTTCTTTCTCCCTCTGTCTCTCTCCAGGGAGTGCAGGCAGGTCATGAATTTGTACAAATTAATTTGGGTGCAAAACAATTTTGAAATCTATGCATAATTTTTCCATAACACACATTTCCCATGAACTTTTTTTTGGGGGGGAGAGGTTATTGCTATAGGGCACGTGTGCTCCCCAGAAAGACAGAGACAGATAGAGAGAAAGCCAAAATTCACCCCCCAGCGGGGATGGCCACACCGCAATCCCTTTTCCATTTTCTCTGAATCTTGGGCACACACGCACAGCGTGAGTTTAAGACACTGGGTCCGGGACTTGAACCATGGTCGACTACATTGGGAGTCCAGCGACATAGCTATTACACCAACTGCTGGTCCATCGGAGAACTTTTTAAAGATCCCCCCCAACCTGCCCAAGATGACACGCGGTGACAATGCAAGGACCAAATTAAGGTCTAGGTCTAAAATCCTAGGGACAGCTTGGAGTTGCCTTTCACCTTCTCCCAAGGTAAGGACGCCTCTAGCGCCAATTCCCTTTTCCCTTCTGAAGCAATCCCGAGCTCCTTCCCTGCCCACTGACAGGCGGGTCTCTGCCCGCTGTCCCTTCTCCAAACACACAATCTTCTACCCGGTCTAACGCCCCCAGCCTCCTAGAATAACAATGCGCAATCGGCTTGCAGCTCAGAAAACAATTCCAGACCGCGGTTCATCTGTGCTCCTCTACAACCCGGTGAAGCGAGTCTAGCAGGTAAAAGCACCCCCACTTTACGAGAAAGGCATCTCCCCAAGGTCACAGGATAGATAACAGAGGAAATCGGGACCAGAGCCCTAGATTTTGAAATCCCCGTTCTCAGCTCACCCCACTGGGCCTCTCGCGCCCGGGTCGCAGTCGCAGCC